AACTGACCACTTCTCTTCTTTCTCTACAGCTGCACCACCCTGCCCTGGACATGCTCCCACACCTGCTCTGGACCCCCTCTGGTGACCTCAAGTGACCTGTCCATAGATCTGGTAGTGGAGTCCTTTTTGCTGGCTCATACAATGTCAGCAGTGCTAACTAGCCTTTCAGTCTTCCAAAGTCATGATACCACATAGAGAACTTGAGACATTGGTCCCATCTACTTTATCTGTTCTACCAAACTTAAAGCAGGGAAGAAGTCCAGAGATGGCTCCTTGAGCAGGAGAAGGCATGGGTCTTTTAAGGGGCAGTCCTCCAGGTATGCTCCTCTATGTCCATCAGTATAGTATCCATTTACTTATCAGTCATGGCCCTGCTTGGTGCCTTACGATAGACAGCCATATGCCTGCAAGCCAACATTCTATCCCTTTTCTAGAGTTAGTTCCCTTTCCCCAAAGAGTGAGAACAATTAATGAGCAGATATAGCAGAACAACTGATACCAGCTGCAATTTTGTCATCCTTCCCTGATGAGGCAACCAGGTCCTGCAGGTAACTTAAAGTCATCCTAGACCTGATAATGAAATACATTGCTGAGACCTTTAACATCCTACTGGAAGTAGTGCAAGAGAAGTCACATCAACTACAAGAAAGTCTGCTCTTTTCCATGCCTGGTAAACTTGACATGTCTATTCATAAGGGACTGTAAAAGACCTGGGGCCAAGTCCAGTATCAATAATTGCCATTTCCAAGAGGATGGATAGATAGTACCAAGTTCCTCCTTAAGGACTCTGTATTTTATTTACATCAAGTGCCTGGCTCACTTGTAGTGGCTGTTCAGGAAAGATCCAAGTAAATAGTGAAGAAGAGAATGGGTGTGGAACAGAAAAAAGTTGACGACTCTGCCATTCAGAGGCACGTTACGAAACATGCACTACAGTCTGCACTTGAAAGAATTATCTTTGATTTATGAAACAGCTCCTCTGACAGAAGTATACACAAGAATTAAAATCCATCATGTTAGGGGGCAACTAATATCTAGAACATCCCTGCAGACTGCTTTGTGGGCATCTGAAAGATCTGTACATACCATGGCTAGATAGGTGGCAATATGATGACCCTCTTGGTACCAGTCAGTGGGAGTACACAAGGAGAGCCCAACCATAGCAAAAGATCTTCCATTTGAGGGCTGCGATCTCTTCAAAGAGCTAAGAAGCTCTCAAGTCATTAAGGGACTCTGGAGCCACTTTTTATTTATTTATTTGGGCATAAGTTTTTGTGGGCAAAAAACACTTCTGAAAGCTTATGCCCTAATAAATCTGTTAGTCTTTAAGGTGCCACGGGACTCCTTGTTGGTTTCACAGATACAGACTAATATGGCTACCCCTCTGAGAATTTACAACTTTTGTTATATTAATAAAGTGCTGCTCTCGAAGAAGGGCCTGAAAGACTTTGGGTGTGAAAGTGCGTTCTTCATCGGCTAAAAAGACAGCCCAGCAACTCACAAACACACAGTGGAGCTACCAAGGGAGTAGCAGAGGTTTAGGCATAGATGACCCATCTACTCTTTCTCAGCTATGGTGCTCTTGATATCTTCCTTTCAGTGGCAATTTCCACATCATAGTCAAGAGCCTAGCAGAACTTTTGGAGAATCTCTACCCTTTTCCCCTATTTTGGCAACTGCTATTTTTTCCAGAAAGCCTGGGGTAGGTTTGCTGTTGAGTTGTGTGTCCAAGAGATTGTCAGCAATGTGTATTGCATACAATTTCAGTCCCATCCTATCTACTATCCATCATCCCAGTCCTTCTTCAACAATCTCTGTCACAAAGTACTGTTGAAACAAAAGGTGCAGCCATTAGTCACTTAGCCTGCTCTAATCAACATAGTCTTGTAGAACATTATTACATCTAACAGCCTAGATCCAGACTGGCTAACATTCACTAGAAAAGTTCAGAACATTTTACTCCAAAGGAGGAAAGTCTCAACTAGAATGACTTATAAAACTGAGTAGAACAGGTTTTCTTTTAGGCATCTTACCATGCATCGTCTCCCCTGACAACACCCATTACAACAGTACTGGATTGTTTACTTGCCATGAAATCATCTGGATTCTTAGTTCCATAAGGGTGCACCTACACAGCATCATAAACTCAAAATAAGCTACACAATTTACACTATGCAAATTGCATTGCTTATTTCAAGTATATTTCGAAATAGGCTATTTTGAAATTTGACGTTGTATACACAGCATCAAATTTCGAAATGAAGTGCTATTTCGAGCCATCCCTTACTCCTTGTACAACAAGGTTTACAGGGATGGTGAAATGGTGCGTCCGCTATATTTCTGAATAGCGGACACGTTCAAAAGACCCAGGGTAGCTATTTCAGGATACCTCTGGTATCCTGAAATAACTTTGATATGTAGACATACCTTAAAGATCCATCTAGCAGCAATATATTCAAATCACCCTTCTATCTAGGGCCACACTGTATTTGCTCAATCAACAGTTGTCCAGGACCTTAAGGTAAGTCATATTTTCCTCCTACTTTAGGAGCCTCTCTCTTTTGTAACCTCAGTGTAGTATTAACAAGTTGTTAAGGACTCAGAGGAGCCCCATCAACCTTGTTTCTTATAACAACTTATCAGTGAAGGCTACTTTTTAGTGGCCATTATATCAACTGGAAGAGTAAGGGTTATTCAGATCCCCAAAGCAGCTCCCCCATAAACAGTGCTTCATAAGGTATGGTTTATAATGCTTATACTGCTTTATATTTCCACTAGTCCTCTTTCATTTGCTGAAATTTGTCTTGGCCTTCTGCTTAGCTTGAATGTATGCTGATTTCCTAGTGACAGTCTCTTTACTGCTGATACAGGCCAGGTGAGTCACATGCATCTTATCAAGAAGTGCTCAGGCATCTTTGTCCTTGTCATCACACCAATCCTTGTGTTTGCATCTTTGGAAACCTGGTATTTTAACAGCAGTTTTGTAGGTTGTTTCCTTAATTTTAATACTGAATAACTGCAGCTAGCCAAGGAAATTCAGTCTCACACACATAGGATATATGCATTTTGAGAGGGGTCCATGTAAACTATATACTTCAGTGAACCACTATTACTGTAAGGTAAGGAACCACCATGCAATGGAGAAAAATGTTCCCGCATCAAATATTATCACTGGGGGAATTCTGTGCCAAAAAACCAAAACTTCTGTGCACAAAATCTTAAAATTTTGTATATTTTATTTATAAAAACAGCAATACTTAATCATGCTAGTTTTAATTATTTTTATAATTTATTTCAAAATACCTGTCAACAACTGTAACAATATACACAATGAAAAAGATTTCCCATAAATGGAGAAAGAAGGAAACTCCTACAAAAGTCCATTTCCTATTTCTCTGTCCCCTCTCTCCAGATCCCAGTCTTGGGTTCCCGCCCGCCTCCCAGCCCAGACACCCAAATACCCTCCTCCCTGCCAGAGCTTTGCTACCTGCACTCCTCCTCCCCAGAACTCTGCTGTGGAATGCCCCTCAGTCCAGACACCCACATCCCCACTCTCCAGAGTGCAGGCTGCAAGGCAAGACTCCCACACCCCCTATCTCCAGGACTCAGTCATGGACTCTCCCCCTGCCCAGATATCTGCACTCTCTCCTCTCTAAGCCAGACATAGGGCCGCCTCCACCCCCAGCCCTGACACTCACACCCTTTCATCCCCAGAGCCCAGCTACAGGGCACTCATCAAATCAGACACCCTCCTCACCTCCCCTGCAGAGAGCTAAAGAGAGAAAAAGCCTGACCCTGGGTCCCAGACTTGTACAGAGTTTCCTGCATGCCACCTCCTTCCTTCAGGTCATACTGGGAACCAGAGCAGCCTGGAACCCTCCAGCATTCCCCCTTGGCAGCGTCTGGCAGTATCTTATATTTGCAAGCTAGAGAATTGGGTTCTGCAGAGTCCAGGGGTCCCTAATGGCAGCCAGTGGCTCTGCAGCATTAATTCTTCAGGGAAAAAGGAAATTCTGCAGAGTACCTTATTATGCAGATCTGCATTACACAGTGGGGCAGAATTCCCCCAGGAGTTAAATTATACTTGATGACAAATGGATGCACATTATCTAAGCAATCATTAATTAAAAAACATACAGAAACTTGTATTTTCATGCTTGTGAGGAAAAACATTGAAAATGTGAACCAGGTGTTGCTCATCTCTGTATCATCATCTCCATAAACCTGCTTGTTCACTCCTATTCTCCCACTTCATGCAGCCTCACACGCTCCTGGCTCCTATGCAGCACTTTTCATCCTGAAAGATCCTAAAACACTTCATTATTTAGATACTTACAGCATCATATGTGGTGGTGAACAGCACCCAAAAAAGCACAGATCACACTACATGACAATATAATAAGCAGAAGAAATGTTGGATAGGAACAAATACTATATGGCTGTGTTTACACTGGCGCAATCTTGCGCCAAAGCGGCCACTCTTGCACAAAAACTTGCTGCTTGTCTACACTGACCATGTGTTCTTGCACAAGAACACTGACGTTCTACTGAATGAAATCAGGGCTTCTTGCGCAAGAACTATAAGGCTCCCGTTCAGGAAGAAGCCCTTTTGCGCAACTGTTCTTGCGCAAGAGGCCAGTGTAGACAGGCAACATGAATTTCTTGCGCAAGAAAGCCCTATGGTTAAAATGGCCATCAGAGCTTTCTTGCACAAGAGAGCATCTATGCTGGCATGGATTCTCTTGCGCAAAAACACATCTCTTGCGCAAAAGCACATGCCAGTGTAGACGCTCTTTTGCACAACTACTTTAACGCAAGAACTCTTGCGCTAAAGAATTTTTGTGCAAGATCACGCCAGTGTAGACATAGCCTATTTGTGGAAAGTACAGTAGAAGTAGTAAAACAAATCTGTATTTTTTTAAAAGAATCAGTATTTTCATCATTGCTTTGGAAATTTAAACTACACACGTAAAGATGACTTTTCTTTTTCTTTCCTGCAGACTATTTTGGGAACAGTGTGATAAAACTGAGAAACAATAAAATGTACTTTTTAAAAGTTGAAACAAAAGAAGCTGAGGCACTCCCTGCATGGGAAGAGGAAAGTGAAAACATAGTGCTTTACTTGAATCCATCTGGTAATCTGTATATGTTGTTTATCAATGGTTCTAAAATACACCGTGAGGACTATCCCTTAAAACTTGAAGTATTTAATTTTGCACTGGATTTTCAAGGTTTTTGTCCATATATCGTATTTAAGCACAGCATGAATTTAAATGTCTATTATTTGGACATGGGAGATGAAGTGACATTTTGGGCTCAGATAGTCTATATGGAGAATCTAGGTTTATCAATAGATGTGGAAATCTACAGGCCAGAATTGCTGATGCAGACAATAGATGTCAATTATGAAATAGCTCGTGGAATCTGTGCTAAAAACCAGGTACGTTATATTAAAATGGTTCCTGTGTATAATATAATTTGATTTCTAACTACAATATATTTAGCATAATTTGCAGTATATATCTGCATATAGACTTCTATTCTTTGCTTTCTTTGGGTTTGAGAGGTTCCTGTGTGCATGTTCAAGAGTGGAGGAGGGGCTGCTTCCCTTCCCCACAAATTTCTTCTCTGGCAGATTTGCTGTTGTTGAGGCCCTGTGACAGAGCTTCTGACAGCATCAATCCAAGCTGAATCAGCCCTTAATTTTCTACTAGATATTATTAAAAAAAATAAATGTTGCCATATTAAATATGATGATTAGCTTTCTCGTTGGTAAGAAACATTTTGGAAGCAAAATTATGGGATTCACCACAAGTTAATGGAAACCAACTATCTGGTAGCTTTGCAGAAATATATTTACAGTGTAAAAGATAAGCTTTAAAGAAGTTTGTTCCCCAGGAGAGGATTTTCTGCACAGGGGAAATGTTGTGAATTCTAAAATGTTTTAGGGTACATCTACACTACGTGGAAGATCAATGCTGCCACGGGCAATCTTCCCGCTAAATCGAACTCAGAGGGCGCACCTGCCAGTGATGCTACTCCTGATCCTCATGAGGAGTAAGGGAAGCCAACAGGAATGTTTGCTCCCATTGGTCTCCCACTGTGGACGGTGCAGAAACACGATGTAAAATAGATTGACTCCAGCTTTGCAATTTATGTAGCTAGAATTGTGTATCTTACTTTGACCTTCCACTGTAGTGTAGACCAGACCCTAATGTGTTTGTGTCCAGGTAGAACCTGCTGGTGTGAACTAAAGGTTTTTCATGCACTTTTTTGAAGTACTATGTTAAAACACTCTACTTTCATGTGCACCAGCAGGGCCTACACAGACCAACACATTAGTACACTTTAGAAATCACACCTCTGTGGTGCACTGACAATCCTTAAGAGGAAATTAAGAGTGAGTTTGTTTTTTGAACACTGTAAAACAAACTGATTGTTGTTTGTTTCACAAATAACAACATGAAAATATTGTTTTTCAATATTTGTTATACATTTATTCAGTAAGAAAACAACAACTATTTCACTAGCATTATTCATCAGATGCCTATCTGTGTAATGTGACAGTGGAAAACAAGCTGGTATTCTTTTCATCATTCAGAAGAGACATATTAGAGAGCTCTTAATATTTCAAAATTGATCAGGAACATAAAAAGCCCTCTGAAATTGTATCTTTAGTGCTAGATTTTATTGTTTTGCCATATAGCCTGTTGTGATAGGTGCTTTACTAGACATACCCCACTGGTGCTGGTCTTCATCCCTGCTCATCTTTTCGAAGGTGTAGTCTGCTTATCATGAAAATATCCTTGATCTAAGCTAGGACTTTTACAATGATTATTCCTAATTATAATTCCTCTTCATTCTCTCTCTCTTGTAGACAATAAAATTTTATCATGAAATGGACTATAGCCATGCACCTAATTATACAAAAGCATTGTAAGCACTGAGTAATTTTTAAAGATATTTAGGGTGATATTGGTAGTAATTGTAACAGGGAGTGACTCACCACCATAATGCCCCTTGCTTGCTGTTCTGGGAATTAGCTCATTCCAACAATGCACCTTCCTCTAGTGGTTTCTCACCCACCATCACTTCTGCTCCACCTCTGGGACCCACATTGCTCCCCTGTTCACAGCAGCCTCTTCAGGGTACAGCCCTCCAGTCATGATCCACTTGGTTCCTTCCCTCCTTTTCAGGGGACCAACTCTCTTCAGTGGCAGGCTGCAGTTTATGCACTGGCCATTCCTCTCAGTGACAAGTGAGAGAAATGGGGTGGGAGCCACTCCAACCACCTGTTTCTCTGGGATACTTCCCCACAGCCCTAGCACTGCCCTGGCCCTTGGTATCAGGGGCCTCAATCTGGCAATTGTCAGGCTGGAGCTCCTGTTACTCCTAATCCTGCTTAGCACTGCTCTATCTAAGGTTATCTTCTAAAGCAGCCAGTCCTTCCAAGCACTCCAGGGCGAGACTGCCTCTGCTTGGTTGAGCAGCTCTTCTTATATGGCCCTAATTGGCTCGAACAAGCCTTCTCCTAACTGGCTTTCTACAAGTCCTCCTCCCATTGGTTGGATTTTGTGCAGTGTCCCTAAGGGCTACTTTAAACCCTCCATCTACTTGCGTGAGGCAGGTGACCCGCCACAGTAATTTATACATATATTGAATATCGTAGTCCATTGCTTTTGGAATGTGAAGTTGTATATTTCAAGTTTATTTTAACAAGGTGGGCCTGATATTAATCTAATGTAATTTCATTGATTTTGACCTGATTTATGTTACAATGGTGTACCCATGATTTATGTCACACTGATGTAACCATGGCCCTGGTTGTAAAATCTCAGCTTGACTCTCCTCTGACATCTCAGGAATGTCCAGCAGTTAGCTTAAGATCTGCATGGCCAAAACAGAGCTCTAAATCTTTACCCACAACCCCTCCCTGTTATCTCATTTATCAGTTACCATAGACAACATCACCATCTGTCTATCACTTAGGCCTGTATATTAAAGATGTAAAATCCCATGTAAAATGTTAACCAATTGAACTACAGGTGTAAGATGTTAATTCCAGCTATGTTATTGATGTAGCTGGAGTTGTGTTCATCAAGTCAACTTTCTACTGTAGTGTAGATGTAGCCTAAGATGCCGCCTTCCTCTATTTACAGTAATACTGCTAAAATGCATGAAGAGGCCTTCACCATCTCACATCTAAACTATTGCTATCTCCTACCCTTTGTGATAAGTGCAGTCTTGTAAATTCATTCCAAACACTGCAACAAAAATCATATTCCTAGCTTTTTTGTTTTTCCATGTCACCCTTTGCTTTGCATCCTTCCAATGGCTCCTCTTTCTCTCTTACTTCAAACATAAGCTACTTGCCTTTGCTTTCGAGCCCCTTTGTGGCTTATCTGCACCCTACCTGTCATCTCTGATGTGGTATCAAGATGTGACTTCCACCTCCCCTCCATTTTTTCAGCTTTGTAAATTTTCAGACAAGCACTTCTGTGTTTTCTCGCATGTTGCCCTTTACATATGGGAGGAGCGCCCCATAAACCTCTGCAAAGCCACCTCATTGTCCTCCTTTTAAATCCTTCTCTAAAACTCGCCATTGCTGTGATGACTTTATAAAAACCTTTATCGTAATTAGGCAGCTGGTATGCTGTAACCACTGCTTATCGTGCCTATAAGTATTGTTTTATTGTTTCCTTTTGCTCCCGTCTTTCTGTCTACCCACACGTTGTCTCTTATTCTTAAGTTTTAAGTTCTTTGGGGCAGGCACCATCAGTGGCGGATATAGGGCAGGGCAAGTGGGGCGGCCGCCCCAGGCCCCGCGCTTCAAGAAGCCCCACGCATGCGCCGTGGCACCACCGTGCATGCACATGGCGCCACCGCACATGTGCCGTGTCAAAGGGGGGCCCCGCGAAATTGTGCTGCCCTGGACCCTGCAAAATCCTCATCTGCCCGTGGGCACCATCAGTTTAGATATGTCTGTACTTGAGTTGGAAGGTGTACATTCCATCTCATGAAGGTCTAGCCACACTAACTCTAACTGAGCTAGCACACAAAAAATAAAAATGCAGCCACAGCAGGCAAGCAGCAAGAGGGGCTAAGTGCACTTAGGTTCTTGATGGGATCACACTCAGGGAGGTTAGTCGCTGTCAATGCTGCAATGTGTACACTTTTATTTTGAGGATACTAGCTTGATCAGAATTAGGGCAGATGTGTATCCTCTCCTAGAATTTACACCTTCCAGCTTCAGTGTGGACATATCTGTTAATATGTGTTTATACAACACCCTAAAAAGGCGAGCCGGGGAACTTAAATTCATAACTCTGTACTAAAAACCATGGATTCAACAGAGACACGGACTTTATTGCACATTGCAATTTGTAACACAACCCACTCTCTGCTAACACTTAACTGACCATTTCATTTTATATAGTCTCCTACAGTAGGTGTGAACCCCTTCTGCCTAACAATCTGCTCCAACTTGTATTTAGCTGAGACACTTCCTCAGGGCTAGTCTACACTATCGGGGGGAAGTCAATCTAAGTTACACAACTTCAGCTATGTGAATAATGTAGCTGAAGTCAGCATACTTATATCTACTTACTTTGGTGTCTTTTCTGCAGTATGGTGATGGGAAAACACCTGGGTGCAGCCCATGTCAGCTGACATGGCTTTGCAGGGCTTGCGCTGCTGAGCGATAAATTTGCAGTGTGGACATCTGAACTTGGGCTGAAACTCAGGCTCTGGGACCAGGCAAGGGTTGGGAGGCCTAGAGCCCAGGCTCCAGTCTGACCCTGGATTTCTACATTGTAATTTTATATCCCCACAAGCCTGAGTCAATTGACATGGGCCAGCTTTGATTGCAATTTGCAGTGTGGATATACCCGACGAAGTGGGTCTTTGCCCACAAAAGCTTATGCTCCAATAAATCTGTTAGTTTATAAAGTGCCACAGGACTTCTCGTTGTTTATGACCCTTAGTTTAGTTAGCTATGTGCTGTTACTGATTTATTTTCAAACTTAAGTAAATAATAATAATAATTCTTATGGGGGGGGGTGTCCCATGTAGAATTGCATCCAGTGGTGTAATGACAGTTGAACTACAACCTAGTTTATCTGGAAAAACGTGTGCATTAAACAACAAGGTAAGTTTTGTAGCTTGAGACGCATAGTGGCATTACAACTTAGACTCTTATGCAGAAATTCTGATCCCACAGATATTGATGGGACTTTTACAACTAGGATCAGTGGAGATAGGATTTCATCATGAGGTTATAAATGCTAATGAATGTAGAATTAACTAAAGTAAGGTTATATTTTCTAAGGGTTTCTGTATGCTGCATAGTAGAGCTGCAGATAAGGAAGGGTTCACAGCAGGGAGTTGGTGAGAAAGTGTTCAAGACAGGAAAGAGGGATGATGTGTCCTAGGAGGAAGCTATAGAGAGAGTTGTGCAGAGCTGGCCCTAGATGAAGCTGCTGGCTCCCATTAGCATCCAAGCCTCCTTCTCAAGTACTGAGAGCAGAAACCTATTTTTGAAAAGTTTAAAAGTTCCTCAGGGCTTCTGAAACTAAGCTCCTCAGGAACTTTTAAGCTTTTGGAGTGGAGCTTCTTATAATCAAACTACTGATTATCCAGGTATTTCAACTGTCCTCTTAGGCAGTTGGAATCAACTTATATAATTGAACTATTTTTAATAATAAAAGAATATTAAATGTTTTAGGCTTAAGACTTCTCTTTTAATGATAAAAATTATAAACATATTTATACACAGCAGGATGTATTGCACAAATCTACATTTTTTACTCATATTGAATTGATTTATCCTAAGTTTGTATGTATGCATGTGTGTAATTCTGTGCTAAAATCTATCACAGCCCAGGTTGGCCTTGTTTGATTGTTTAACTTTATGTAAATGAATTGTGTATATAGTAGTCTATACAAAAATATATAGATCTATATAATATAACGTATTTCTTTTCAGCTAAGTCATTTATTTATTGGCTGCCCTCCATCAAGGCATATTCTCATTCATAGGCAAGTTTTATTTATCTTTTATTATTTATGGTTTATTTTGTTTTACAACAGGAGTTAAAATAAATGCTAACAAGTAGCATTGTTAGCCTAAAATGCCTGTTATCTCATTTTAAAATGTTTCTTACTTTATATCGATTTTATACATGATTACAAACCACCTCTCCCATGTTGTAGACACCTTTTAAAAATGTACATGCCTACCCCTGCTTAGTGCAAAACAACAAACCCACAAATCCTAAAATTGAAAAAGAGCTTAATATACACATTATCCCCTAACATACCAACCTTCGGTCACTTCCTTCTTCGACAGAGGAATTAAAAACACATGAGCCTTGTAGCATAACCAGAACCACAACAAATGTTTAGTTCCACAGTGAAAGGGCTCTCATGGGGAAAAAAAGATCTCTCTGTAGCTCTTTAGATTTTTAACTGAAAGATGCCAATTTATGGACCTCTGTTAACCATAACTGCAATAATATGCAGGGGTGCCATTTCAGATTTTGGGAAGGTGACCTGTTCATGCCACAGTGAGTGTGGGGCGCGGGGGCAGAGTGAGGATGGTGGCTTCAGGAGTGTTACTGAGTTTGCTCAGTACAAACCAAGCTGCAAATCTGAGGGGGAGAAAGCCCTATATGCCTTCTCACACCCACATCATCTCTTTCCAGGGACTGCTAAGGCATTTGAAAACTCTAGTTTTTGACAGATAACTTAGCAATTATCTGACAGGCGCACTGTATCTAATTCCTATATAAAAGAAAGAAAACTAAATATTAGATCCACTCAGCTCTAATACTAACATATTCTGACATCTTTTGGCAAGTCACTTAAGGGATGCTGGTTAGGCTTAACATTTTAATGTATATTCATACTTTGTTACTAACTCTGAGGACAGAGAAAGAGAGAGACACTGTCAGGACTCCCGAGCCATCTCTCAGCTCTGGGAAGGGACTGGGGTCCAGAGAATTACAGAGGGGTGGGGCGCAGATACATCTGGGTTCTGTATAAGAACATCAGAATGACCGTATGGGATCAGACCAATGATCCATTTAGCCTAGTATCCTGTCTTCCAACTGCAGCCAACACTAGGTGCTTCAAAAGGAATGAACAGAAAAGACAATCACCAATGATCCATTCCCTGTCACCCATTCCCAGCTTCTGGCAAACAAAGGTGAGGGATACTATCCCTGCCCATCCTGGCTAATAGCCATTGATGGACCTAGCCTCCATGAACTTATTTCATTCTTTTTGGAACTCTGCTATAGTTTGGGTTCTTCCACCATCCCCTGTCAAAGGGTTCCCACAAGTGGACCATGAAGAAATAAATTATTTTGCTTGTTTTAAATCTGTGTATAAATATCATTGTGATCTTCTTGTGTTATATTAGTGAAGGAATAAATTCATTATTTTTTAGACTGCTAACATATCCCCCACCATTTAGTCAAAGAAAAAGGCCATGGAGAGAGCTAAGTGACATTGGGAAGGAACTGAAGGGTGTTTGGGGTTGCCCTGCCCTTTATGTCTTTGATTAGAGACACAAACATAAGGTTGGGTCTACACTATAGTTTGTGAATAAATCATTCCACTGAGCAGCATAAGTTACATTGACATAGACATCAGTGTAGACAGCACTATGTCAGCAGAACAGCTTCTTCCTCCAACGCAGCTGCCACTGCTCATGGGGCTGGAGTAGATGAGCTGATGGGAGCAGCAGTACAAGCTCTCTTGGCAACATAGCGCTGTCCACATCAGCACATCGGGGATTTATGCACAAACCTGAGTGACATAAATTATCCTGACATAAGCCGTAATGTAAACATAGCCTTAGACCCAGTCTACGCTACACAGTTTTTACATCAAAAGGCAGTTTTTGTTGACAAAACAGCAGAGGTGAACGTGTTATAATGCTCCTTCCACTGACTAAACTCTCCTGCTTTGCTGACAGAATAAAACCACCTCAAAAAGAAGCACAGAGCTTTTTATGGCAAAATTAAAGTGACAAAGTATGATTCTACGTTGCTGTAACTGACCTCCAGGAGGTATCCTACAATACCCACCATGACTGCTCCACTCATTGTTCTGAATTCTGCTACCCTGCAACCAATTACACAGACATGTGCCCCGCTCCTTTCAAGTTCCAGGAAGTTTTTTAAATTCCTCAGCATGGAGAAGTCGCATAGCTACGGCCCAGCTGAGCATGCCAGTTCCTGGCAGGAAACACACTCCTGCCTGGACTACAGCCAAAGAGGTAGTCTTGATCTGTGGAGAAAGGAAGCCGGGGGAGAATTCAGAAGGAATTATGGAATCAAAACATTAGTGCATAATCCTGTTCTCCCCAGCACTAGGACTGCAGTGGCAGGCAGGCAGCCCCTGGCTGCTGCAGAGGAGAGAGAAGGGACTCGTGTAGTATAGAGCTGGATGGGATGATATTGGGGTGTTCCCCTTCCTCCACTGGTGTACTGGTCTCCACTGAGGTGAGAAGATGGGAGGACACTAGTTGTCTGTGCACCAGCTTCTGCCTCAGGATAGGTTGCTTCCTGTGGCTGTCTGAATTTAAGGACAGTGTGCCGACAATCTTCCTTTCCTCCAACATGCATGCTTCCCCAAAGCAAACGTATTCTCTCCCATCCATGCTCCTCAGACACACACAAACACACTCTCTGTCACACAATCTCTCCCCCATGACCACACACACACATTTCTGTGAGCTTCTTGTGTTAGTGTTCAGCAATGTCAGTTTGGTCATGTTACCCAATGCTACTTTAAAAACTATTTAAAATGTGTTATTTTGGGGGCACACACAAAAATCATTACAAGGTTCACAGCATTCTACAAACAAACAATGCTAGGCTTAGCACACGACAGCAACATACGGTACTGTAGCTCACTATTAATGTGCTCCTTCAAGGCATCCCCCAATCCAATGGCCCCCGGTTGGACTCCTCTTATAGCCTTGTGTTCATAATGCACAGCACAATACTAAACAGCACTGTAGCATCCATGCTTTCTGACCAAAATGGCAGGGATGCATGTTACCAGGGCAGTTGAAAAGCATCTGGCAATCTAGTAGGATGATGAGATGATGGAATGATGAGATTGAGAAACATTCAGCATGTGATGCTGTACCTGCCCCATGAAACATTGTGAACCTTTCCCAAAGCACCCTGTGCCCAGGTGCACAGTGGGATAGCTACCCAGAGTGCACTACTCTCTGATGCAAGAGCCACTATTGTGGATGTGCTTTGCCAACACAAGGAGCATTGTGTGGACATGCAACAGCAGTCTAATTACAGCAGTGGCTGTGTGTTGGTGTAAGTCATGCAACTCTGTGGGGTAGACAAGGCTTTAGTGTTTTTGTGTTCCTAATCAAAGGCATAAAGGACAGAGCCACGCTAGGCATCCTTCAGCTCCTTATCATTGTCTAAGCTCTTTGGTCATTCCCTTTTATAGGTAGATAGTTGTAAGTATTTAGTGGATCGTTAATTATTAGACTTAAATAACAACAAATGGTCTGGTAGCACTTTATAGACTAACAAAACATATAGATGGTATCATGAGCTTTCATGGGCCCATCCCACTTCTTCAGATGACTGGAGTTTCCAGTCATCTGAAGAAGTGAGCTGTGCCCATGAAAGCTCATGATACCATCTACATGTTTTGTTAGTCTATAAAGAGCTACCAGACCATTTGTTGTTTTTTAAGTTTATCCTGTACAGACTAACTCGGCTGCTCCCTGAAGCTTCCATTAATGATTAGGTTAGTGTTAGCTTTTAAATAGCATTTCCTTTTCTCCTTTTGTGAGGAAACTATTTTACTCTGCCTGGAATGCATTCCCAGTACTGAGGCCTGGTCTACACAAGGAAATTAGGTCTGTAAAACTGTATCACTCAGGGATGTGAAAAATCAACACACCAGAGCAATGCAAAACTTTGATCTAATCTCCAGTGCAGAACAGTTGTTGGTCAATGGGAGAATTCTTCCACTGACCCAACTACCACCTCAAGGGGAGGTAGGTTACCTGAGTTGATAGAAGAACCCCTCTCATCAACATAGATAGCAACTGAAGTCATACAGTGGCACCGAGGCAGCATTTTAAGTGTACTTTATCCCATACTAATAAAAATGAACTAAGATAGTCCTGGAGATAGTACAATAGGGGAGCCTAATGAACGCAGCCTTTGCAGATTAGAAACAAACTATTTGGGGGGACAGGGAAACGAGTTGTCCTGTAGCACCCTAGAGACTAACAAAATATATGTATAGTAACATGAGTTTTTGTGGGCAAAACCCACTTCATCCGATGAAGAAAAATCCTTACTGACTTTTTGTGGGAAGGTAAATTGACTAGGAAAGGAACATGTTCTTTTTAAAATAAACTTCAAAGGGCTCCTGAAATTTGTGGTTTGAGGAAAATTTGTTAGAGTGGATGGATCTGTTATAACTTGTACTTCCTGAGAATTAGATAAACAATTTTCTTAAATAACATTAGAGTGCTGTAAAAAAACCCACACACCTCAACCCAGCTGCTTAAATGAAAAGGTTGGGTTTTCTTAATTGGTTTTCAGTGGGAAATGTCATAAGCAAGTTTTTATTCTTCTTCGAGACGTTGCTCATGTCCATTCAAATGAAGTGTACGTACGCCATGTGCACAGTTTTCGGAGTGTTCTCCCTTGCGGTATCCATGGCACCGGCAGGTCACCTCCTGGAGTGGCACCACTATAGCAGAGCATAAGTACCCCTGCCGGCGCTCCCCCTCCTCAGTTCCTTCTTACCGCCAGTGATGGTTGTTGGAGTGTTGCTATCTCCAAGATCAGCAAGTGTTGTTGTTTGCCCGTTGGCAGTTTAGTCTTTGTTTGTTAATAGTTGTAATCGTTAGGTACTTAGTTTGGTCTTTGTAGTTTTTCCCCTTTTTTCCCCTTCGGGGGAGCAGAATGCCAGGCCTGCACGGCTTTAAGCCTTGTGCGTCCTGTGCAAAATTCATGCCTAAGGGAGACCCCCACGAC